TGAACAAAATATTAATTTTAATTAGGTATACGTAGGAAGATATTACATCATTTTAAATATGATTTTCCAATTGAATAAATACTTTTTGTTTATATTTTTTATATAAATTTAAATTTTATTTATAGTTTTCTACTAACGTACGTCTAAAATGTAATAATACATATTATTCTTTTTCAAAAAAATTGAAAATAATCTTCTTTTTTTACAAAAAATAATTTTTTTAAGTAATTTTATTTTTAAGAAAAAACTTTGCTAAGATATTGTAGAAATTTAAGTTTTATTTTTTGTCTTAAATATTTACTTACAATGATTTTGTAGATTTGAACAATCCCTTTTGAGAAAATGAAGGGTGTAGAAATAAGCTTCAAGTCCCACCCATCATCTTATAATAAAACTCATAAAATTCAATATATGGATTTAAAAAAGGAAAGTAATCAAGCTTCAACAGTGTCTATAATGGTCCCTAATTTAAACTTTGAACAAATAACTTATTATCAACCTGAAATTATTAATGATGACCCTACAATGGAAAAAGAAATTTTTAAAATTGAAAAGTTTAATACTAAATCGTCAGGTCCTATGGAATTGAGAAGGATTTCCGATATTGAAGTAAAATCATATAAACCTTTGAAAAAAATGAAATTTCGAAGAAAAAAAAAATATTCATCAATTGTTAGTAAAGTTGAAGCAATTTTAAACAGGGGAAAACATTCATTATCCAGCAGAGATCCATCAGAAGAATCTGTTGTAGTCGAATATGACAAACCTACTGAAACCATTATAGGGATTAATGATTTGCCAGAAAGCATTTTACAAAAAATATTTTTTTGGTTAACATTTAAAGAACAAATCACTCTTCTTCCTAGAGTTTGCAAGTAAGAAAAAAAATATATATTTATGAATTCTTTATGCAAGCCTTCAAATAGCCGTCAAAATAAAATAAAGTAAACTGTACTTATTAAAATTATCGCTATTTAGTTAATACCAATTGATAATTTTCTTAGATTTTGGTACTACATTATTCGAGATCCAATTTTTTGGACAAGCTTAGAATTTTCAGGAGATAAAGTACCATCTACTGTTATAATTGATCTTTTAAAAAGATACCCATCATTAGAACGTCTCCACCTAATTTCTGTGCCTAATGTTATTGATATATTGCAAGAATTAAGTCGGTATGATGTGACTTTACTTTAAAAAAATTATTCAGTAATTTAAAAAAAAAATATTAAATATTTCATTATACCTTTGTAGGTGCAATCATGATATAAAAGAATTAAAAGTTAGAAATTGTAATGTTGGCAGTTTTGATTTTGGTCGTATGATTCTTCACATTGTATCCTGTTGTACAAAACTTGAAGTTTTAGATATTAAAAACATGCCTTTTCAATCGGAGCGGTACATAATAATTACATAATTTAAAAAAATGTATTTACTACCTTATTGTTTATAACTTTTGCAGTACCTTAATTTTAGGTTTTACCTAGAATTGGGCCGCTTAACAAATCTTAAATGTCTTAATTTATCTGGGAATAAATTTTTAAGAAGTCAAGATGTAATAACTCTATCTATAAACTGTAGAACTTTAGAAGATTTAAGACTATTGAATACTTACACTGAAAGTAGTTTTGGAAATAGTTTGAAAGACAATGAAATGGTCTTCATCGCATCTCATTTACAGCCAACTTTATCTACTTTAAAGATAGATATGCACCAACTGAGAAATATATCGTATCAGGTGAAAATATACCCGAAATTTTACAAGTTACAATTTTTTTAAAAACTTACCTGACGCCATTTTTATTTATAATATTTTAGGCCATTATAAAGTGCTCATTGCTTCAACATTTGGTTTTGGAAAATTGTTTACTTTTAAGCAGTGACACGTTTCGTTTATTTCCCGCCTTAACAAAATTAAAAAAACTTAAAATAACGAGGGGTATCAATTTAAAAGCTGAAGATTTTTCATTTGTTTTCTCAAGCGACAGCATGCAAAATATCGAGCACTTGGATTTAAACGGGTGTTGGAACATTGGTGAAGTTGGATTGAGAGCCATAACTTATAAACTATTAAATCTAAAAAGTTTGTCATTGAAAAATTGTAAATCGATTCAAAAAAACGACGTTTCCTACTTATCCAAATGTTCAAAATTAACGTTTTTAAATTTGGCTCATACGAATGTGGATTCGGATAATTTAGAATTACTGCCTCAATATGTTAAAAATTTGAAAGAAATTGTCATTGGTTGTGACGTACCGCTAAAATCAATACTTCATTTACAAAAATGTCTACCTGATTTGATCGTTGTCATTAGTTATTCCGAATATCATAAAAACGAAAAAATTTTTAGTGATTAATTTTTCTAATTGATTATTTATTTATGAAATTGAAGGAAATTTTTAATTTGTACAATAATGTAAAATAAAACTTATTATTATTATTATTATTAATTTTTTTTTTTTTTTTTTTAAAGACCGTTAATGTATTCATTTAAATAAAGACAAAATACAATTACAATCAATCATACCAATCAATCACCGACTGAAAAAATTTCAGGTTAGAATTTTTTTTTTTTTTTTGTAAAATAAAAATGAGAGTAAAGGGGCGGGGGAGGGGGAGGGACGAGGAGGAGCAGGAGGAGGAAAGGGGGGAGGGGCCTTCAGAATAATTATTATGCCGATAAAAAATATTTTTTTAAATTGTCACAGAAAAAAAAAAAAAAGAAAAAAAATTTTTTTTTTTTACCTTCATTTACTACTACACAGTTCACATGGAAAAAATGAAGGAGCAATCACCAATTGTTACAATTTAATTATACCATCGAAAATAATAAAGAAAAATACCATAAACCTGACATGAATTACATGGGAAATTATTTTTTGTTTGTTGAATTTTTTTTTATTAAATGTGCGCTTTTAATTTAAGTAAACAAATACATTTTTTTTTTTTTTTTTTTGGTAGGGGAAACAAAATAGAATAAAATAAAAAAAAACTTAAGCAGAAATATATAAAAAGAAATATTAATGAATAAAATAATTCAAATATATATAGAAAAAAAAAAAAAAAAAAAAAAAAAAAAAAAAAACAAAAATCCCGACTCAAATTCAATCGTTGAAATTAAACTTTAGTATTATTATTATTATTATTATTTTTATTTTATTTTAAATTTCATCACATTTTTATTTTTATTAATAAACTTATTGTTTTATTTTTTTGTTTTCAAATAACTGTTTTGCTTGTTTTTATTTTAAATAATCCGATAATATCAATTACAATAAAAATAATACTGTGTGACATTAATAGAATTCATATTATTATTATTATTATTTGATGACAAATTCATGTGTGAGTTATTCAAGTTTTGATTAAAATTATTTTCATTCATTTAATTAATTAATTAATTAATAATAATAATATCAACGATTGTTTTTTTATTTTTATTTTTATTTTTTTTTATAATCGAGTCATGGAAAGCTTGATTGATAAAATAACCATCCTAAAATACAGTTTTAAGTAACTATTGCTGCTTAAGCCTTAAAATACATAATAATAATAATAATAATTAATAATAATAATAATAAAAAGAAAAAAAAAGAAAAAAAAAAAAAAAAAGCCAGTCTTCCGGCCCCAGGAATATCAATCGTTGATATTTTTCATATTATTTTTATTATTACTGCCGGTCTGTGGCACGAAGTTTTTCTTCCACAGCTTCCTGAGATGCTTCAGACAGATCCGTAGCCTGCAGAAAAAAATTAATATTATTAATAATATAAAACCTAATGTCTTAAACATTGATGATGACGATGATGGATTTTACAAATGATTATTTATTATTATTAACGACGGAATGTCATCAACATTCATCAACGCTTACCTGAATATATTTTTGGACCCCAATTAATGATTTTTTCAGGGCGTCGAAAGATGAAGAGTACAACATCTTCTTTTTAACTTTGGCAGTGTCAGGGCACCAGGAAATCAAAAATAACTTTTGCTTCTTTGACGCCTGTAAAAAAAAAAAATACAAAAAAAATATTACAAAAAAAAAAAATTAATTTTAATGTTTATATATTTTTATCGTTATGAAAAATAATTATTATTATAAATAAATAAATAAATTTTTAATAAAATTCTTTTTAAAAAAAAAAATATCTAATAAACACTATTTCATTTTATCCTTTCTTTTCCTTTTTCTTTAATATTACTATCATTATTTAATTTACATGATTACAAAAAAAAAAAAAAAAATCCTGAGTTTATAATTATGATGTTGTTTCATTTTTTTTAAACAAGATTTAACAACATATAAGTAGTTATAGGAAAAAAAAATTCTCGTTTTATCATTGGGTAAGCTGACAATGACGCATGAAATTTAATATACGTCGTGTTATGAAAAAGCTCTGTAGGGCTCTAACCGCTCTTTGATAGAGGGCTAGACGAAAAAATAAAAAAAAAAAAAAAAAAAAAAAAAAAAAAACGCCGCCTACCGACTACACACACACGCACGCACACACACACACATGTGCTGTCTCACTCATTGGGAATCACACAAAAATAGAACGGGGAAAAAAAAAAAAAAAAAAAAAAAAGAAGCACTTAACACACTGACTGGCTTACGTCTTTGCTTTTGGCGACAAATATATATATATATAATAAAAAACCATCATTTAAAATTTTTTTTTTTTTCTTTTACTCCGCACAGCATCATTTTTTTTTTATTAATAATTTTCAATCTCGCGGGGAGAGGGGAGAGAAATAAATAAATAACAATTTCCTTCGATGGTAAATAATTTTTTTGTACGGATAAGTATGTATGTAAACGTGGTGCCCTTTCGAGACAACAACAAAACTTTTAATTAACCTTGAAAAACTATTTAATAAACATGTAATGAGGTTTAAATTTTAAAACACTCTCTCTCTCTCTCTAGCTTTTTTTCCCTTTAATATCTTTCCCCCATTGGTTTTGTTTTGTTTTTAAATCTCCTTTTCCCAAATATTTGTCTAAATAAAATTTTTATTACTTACTTCTGAAGTTCCTTGGCATTGGTGAGTGTATTCAAAGTCGAAAAGTCCATAACGGCATTCACCGGTACCACCCTTTTGCAAATCTTCTAAAAATTGATCATATGCGGCATTTCTATCGCCTATAAAGAAAAATTAAAAAAAATACATTAAATTTGAGTTTAATGATATAATTATAAGGTTATACCCACACACACACAACGTTTCAATAATATTAATTTATTAAAAGTAAAATCAGGGGGGGGGGCGTGAATCAAAAACATAATGTTAACAACAACATCGTGGTTAATTATTGTATTAAAAACAAAACAAACAAACTTAGATGTAACAAAGCGTACAAAAAATCGTTTCGAAAAAAAAAAATAAAACAGATAGGAAAACAATTTATTATATCGAAATAAGTTAAAAGCCGCAAATAATCAGTTTTAATGTGTTCTTTTCTTTTTTTTAAACAAAAAAAAAAACTGTGATTAACAGAGTGCCTAAAAAATTTATAAATAAGTTTACTTCACAAAATAAAACTTTAGAAAAATTTGTGTGGAAAAAAAAAAAAGAAAAACTTATTCGAGCCCATTTATTTATTATCGACATAATTTTATTATTTTGCATCAAAAAATCATGTATTATTCCATTATCATTATTTCGCGCACACATATACATTTATTCGTTTATAATATATATATTTTTTTTATTTATACATTTTAAATTAACTTGTATTTATGAATCAAGGCAAAACACAATTACGTAGTTGGAAAAAAAATATTAACGTAATTATTATTAATTTTTTTAATATACATTTAATTTTATAGAATCCAAGTCTTATTGTTTTATAAATTGACGATTTAGATCATGTTGAAAACGTTATATTGATTATACTTAAAATTTAAAATTCTCTACCCCCTTCCCTTCCCTCCCCGTTTCAAAAAGAAAAAACAAGTTGTTAAAGAATTTTAAAATAAAAAAAAATAACTTGCGACTTTTTTTTTTTTTTTTTTTTTTTTTTTATTCTCTTGAGAATAAGCCAAGAAAATATTTTTTTTTTTAAATTTTCGATAGAATCTAACTTAAAACTTAAACTTTTCTTTTTTTTTAAAAAATCTGACAAAACAAAAAAAAAATTTGATATTTCAATGAGTGACGTTATTGGTTTGTATAAAAAATTTTCGTTCGATACTTTTAAAATATTTTTTTTTGTTTACGGGCTAAAAAAAAAAAAAAAAAAAAAAAGGTATTCATGTCCTATATAAAAAGGTATTGTTTAAACAAACCATAATAAAAAGTGTGTTTTAAAAAAAAAAAAAAAAATTGCAAAAATTGCAATTTTGCAATTTGCGATTCGAACCCAATGTAAAAATTGTAATAAAATTTTTTTAGTATTTAAAATTAATATTTGATAGAAAAATATAATATATAAATTTAAAAAAAAAAAATTAATAATTATTTAAACGTTTCGCACAATGGTGCAACGTCTAAAGAGTTTCTCAATAATTTTTTTTTTTTTTAGAGTTACAAGTTATATCACGAAGATAACTGAATACCAACAACAACCATTTTCTTTTTATTGACGTTTCAGGAAAACAGGTTTCATTACATCTATCATTTTTTTGCCTTAGTCATCACACAGCAAAAAAAAAAAAAAAAAACATGAGTAATTCTAATCATTTTCAATAGCAATGCCAATACTTTATTTTTTAACTAATTTACCTTCCTCTGTATATTAAATAAGAAATTTTTTTTTTTTTTCCTTTTCTTTTCACGGTTATAATAACGAAATCATCGAACCAATTTTAATTAATTTTATTAAATTTTTTTAAAAAGTAAAATTATAAAGCATTTGATTTTGTGCGAGATCTAAACGTTTGAAGGATTCCTCCCCCCCCCCCTTTTTTATTTTTTTATTTAAAAAACAAAAACCATTATTATTAAAAATTTTCTTAAAGGAATTTACGTTGTGAAAACAAGTTTCAAGTACAATTTTACACATTTGATACAAGTCATATTTTTTTTTTTTTTTTTTTTTGAAAAAAATTAAGTAAATAATGTATATAGTAGTCCTTTGCCTTGCCCAAGTGTTCGTCTTTCATGGGGTTATTGACCCAATTAAACAATCTGATCCTTATAAAAGTCATTCACTCACAAGAAAATCTAATTTTAAGAACCGATTTTTTTTTTTTTTTTAATAGTTGCACAATGTTATGAAAAATTCACCCAAAACATTAAAAAAAAAAAAAAAAAAAAAAACACGAAAACAAACGGAAATATACTATTTAAAACCATTAGAAACTCATTTACTTGTTGTAACTAATAACTAATAAAAAAAAAAATTATTAATATTATTATTATTATTATTGTGTCATCGCGGTGTTGATATTTTTAATCGATTTCATCATCACTGATTTAAGGGGAAAATTATAAAATTTTGAATTTAATATTTAAAAAAGGATATTATCCTAACAAAAAAAAAAAAAAAAAAAGAAAAAAGTTTTTTCTTAATCAATTTACTAGGTAAAATAACCATTTGATTTGAAACAACATCCGTAAAGCCATTTAAAGGCTTTATGTCAAGGACTGTTGTAAGCAGCCTAGATAAAACATTACGAGGTTGTTTACAGTGTCTGTCTGTATTTTTATGAAAAACTTTACGGAATTAATGTACAACAACAATAATAATGACTCATAAGCCTTTTCTTTTATTTTATTTTTTATTTTTTTTATTATTGCAACATATTGACAAATTTGAAAAAAAAAAATTTTTTTTTTTTTTTGGTCACATTTAGTGGTTTTCCCCTACAAACTCTTTATATTTTTTTATTGCCATTTTATAAAAAAAAAAAAATTGTACAATTAAAAATCAATGATCGGGCTAATAATTTTATAGATTTAAAAATATAATTATTGAATCAGGTTAAACAAATTTCTTTTCAATAAATATGAGTAAAATATGTTGCTTTTATTTAATGTGAAAATTATAAAATTTAAAACCTATATACTTTCACACACACATGCAAAGATCATTAGATCAATGAATAAAAAAGAAAAAAATTTAAAAAAAAAAAAATAAAAATAAATATTTCAGTCATTATTTTTGTCATTAAATATATTTTATTTTATTTATAGAATTCTGACATCTCAAACCCCGTTTTTTTAAAATATATAAATAGATGTTTTTAAAATTTTTCTTAATGATCTCTTACTAATAGTTTTACAGTAACACACACAAAAAAAATTTTCAAATTGATAGATTTACACAGTTTAAAATTATTATTATTATTGGTTCACCTCATAAAATATTTGAACTTTTTTTTTTTTTTTTAACTGTGTAATATGCTTAACATTAAAATTTTTCTATAGAAAATGATTTAATTGAGTTAAAATATATTGTGTGCTCATACATGTCTTTGGAAATTTTTTTATTTTCAGTTAAAACGACCAAAAATTAAAAGCAAATTATAAAATAATCTGTTTTGATTGGAGTTATCAATCCAAAAAATAGTACCACAAGAATAAAATTTATTAATTAGTCACAAGTAAGAAATTTAATGACTAAAATTATTTAAAAAGGGTTAGAAAGTATTAATGTTAAAGAAATACATTATTTTAAAAAAAAAAAACTTACCTATAACTTCTACATCAATTTGTTTTTCATCTCGAATAAAGAAAACAACATAACGATATTTTTTATCCTTTTTTATCTCTTCATATGTTGTTTTACAAATGTCAGAAACTGTAACACCAGATGCCTAAAAATTAAAAGTAAAAGTTATTAATACAATCATTACAATCACTTTGAGTAATTTTTTTAAATTGTGCTAAGTGCAAATTTAGATGTGTCACAATATGGGTTTCACCTTCAGGGGTAAGAGATGAAAAAAACTAAAATAATGAGGCGAAAAGAAAAATTCTTATACTGTGGTTGATAACATATTTAAGAATGGTTTTTCCTAATATTAGTAATTCCAAAATTAAAAAAAAAGAGATGGAAACCTTGTTTAAAATACTAAATTTTATAATAATTTGGAAATAAGGCTTCAAAAATTAAAAAAAAAAAAAATTTTATAATGTTGATAATTTTTTTAAATTCTAAATTAATTCAACTTAATAGTTAAGAGAAAAATGAAGTAAAACTGGATGAATGCATTTCAATTTGTATTTAAAAGTGCTTTAAAATTTAATAAAAGTTAATTTTAATTTTTCCTAAATATTTTTTAATAATGGCTAGTAAATAATTTTTTAATCGTAAGAAATTATAAACGTAAATAATAAACTATTACCAAAAAAAAAAAAAAAAATTAAAATTAAAAAAAAAAAGGAAATTAGAGATACAAGAATTGACAAGGGGATAATTAGTAAATTCTATGTGGATCAAGCATTGTGGACTCGACAGAAAATGGCGGAACCGGCAAATTAGGCTGCATCGCACAAGAAATTACTTTAATTTTAGTAAAAATAATAATCCTCTTGTAACAAAATCATCGTAAAATAATAATTAAATTTAAAAAGAAAAATTTTAAAGAACTTACCATAATGAAAATACAGAATCAAATAAATTAAATATCTAGTACAATTCAACGTACGAGCTCTTTTGCAACCACAGAAAATGAAAGGGAGTTCACTGGCAGTGATTCACTGCCAACTAAAGTTATTTACTCTATGTATTCATTTTAATGTATTCATACGTCACGTAAGGTTTTTAGTCAATAATTAACTAAAAAGGTCATTGAGTAATGACTAATTTTTTTCGCAGAAATTTTTATTTTTAAATTAAAAATTTTTTAAATTCAAAATAAATGCACTACTAATAATATTAATATAAATTATAAAGGTACTACATTATCGATACACAATTGTATTACAATTTTCTTTGTTATGAGGTCGCCTTTTATGGAGTTTTCGGAATTTGGTATTCTATTTTTTATTTAACAGGAATATCAGGCTTGTTTAAACCGTTTAAACTAAAGCCAATCTTTTAAAATACATTCCTTAAATTTAGAAACAGTAAATAAAGACATGATGGGATAATTCTTATACCTCATAAATATCAACCAATCAGAATAATGGACGTCCTAGTATTACCAAATAAGGCAATGACCGAATGTTCACTGAATTGAGTATTATGATTCACTTACGACTAACTAATTACGATAATTAAAAAAGAAAAGGGGTAATTTTTATAAGGGTGTAAAGAAAAAAAACCAAACCAAAAATACTTTTTAAAATTTTATTTATGAAAAATTATCATAATTAAGGAAATACAGATTGTTATTATTCATAAAATTTTCTAAATGTTTTCAAGCTGATATACATTTAGTCAAAAACCGTTATGGCATTTAAATTAAAAAAAAAAAAAAAAAAACCAAGGAAAAAAACTTTTAAATCATAAAAGTGAAGCTTGCGCGTCTAAATATACAATTTTTAATCATATTTACATTATCTGATTTATTGTTCATTATTTTTTGTAAAAATTAAAAAGCATTGTTAAATAATTAAAGAAATTCAATTAATGAAATTAAGTAACTAGTTGTGAAAATTTATACAAATATTTGAATGTGATTGATCAAAAATTAAAAACAATGTACAAAATGAAAAACTTATTTTTGTAAAAAAAAAAAAAAAGTAATTAAAAACCTAAGTTTCCAACAATTTAATATCCTATTTAATAGAATCGCAATGTTTCACAATCAATCAATCAATCAATCAATGCAGAAAAATTTAATATATAATTACACAAATTAGATTTAAGTTTGTGAAAGCGAATCGTTTTTCTAGAGGGATGAAAATATATTTTGGTTTAATTGTTGATGCTATACTATATTATATAGAAAAAAAGATTTAAATAAGTCCACGTTTTTTCTTATAATCTTCTAAATTTAAAGACCTTTTAGGACCGGAATCTCTAACGAAATTTACTGGTTTAGCGGATACGTCGATTGGGTTACCTAAAAAAAAAAAAAAATGGCAAAAATTAATTTTTATGATTTTTTTCTGTAGTAATGACAATAACTGATATATAAAATAAGACTTACTAGGAATGGGAACGTCCAAATCAATTGTAATGTCAAAATTATGCGCAGAAAAAAGATCTTCCGTGTTTCCAGTTTTTATTTCTTTTTTCTTTTCAGGTTCTTTAAGACTGCTAATCGATGGTGTCGCCATCATGGCTGACATAGCATCCAGATCACTCTGGGCTTGCCTTTCCAAAGCTTCAGCCTAAAAAAATTAATAAAAAAAAAAAAAAAAAAAATATTTAGTAGGAAATTATTACTAAAAACATTTCAGGGAAAAAATTATGTGAAGCAGTTTACCCTGCTTGCAGCGCTCATCCCATCCATTTGGTCTTGGGCTTTAAAAACCATTCGAGGTTTTGTACTTCGCCTTGTAAAAGGATCATCAACCTTTTTCCCTTTATTCGCTTTAAGTTCTTCCATGATAGCTTTTTCCGCTTGCTCAACATTTTTCTTCCTATTCCTATCATTAATGTAACTAATACTAGATATTGTGGATGTTCGCATTTTGTCTAATTCTTCTGCTCTCTCTTCAAGTTCGGCTATTTTTTGTTTTATCTCAGCCACTTTTTCTTCGTCTCCACTAGACAAATTTAAAAAAACAATTTATAATTATTAATAAACTTAAATATTTAAAAAATTTAAAATTACAATAAACTTCTGCAGTAAATTCTGTCATTTAGTGTATATACTCACTTAGCAGCAGCCATATCCTTTTCTTTCAATAAAAAGGTTTTCTTCATGGCGTAGTTGTAGGGACTTGATTTGAAACGTTCTTTTTCTTTCACCATTTTTTCTATATCTTCTTCTTTGAACTCGTAGATGAGTGCCTCTTTGATGTCTTTTAGCTTTTTCTCCAAGTCGTCAAAGGTCGGAAGGGATATACCTTGAAGAGCGCAAGTTTCTTTCCACTTCATGAATTCACTTTCCGTGAATTCTTGATTGCTTACGAACTCTAACCTGAAGACGCGTTCTTGGGCCCCGTGTCTGTAAACAAAAAAAAACCAAATTCGAATCTAGAGATGAAAGTATCTGCTTTTGAAAACTATTCTCCAACTATATTTACCTTTCCTTATACACAAGTTAAAAATTGACCCGATCGGGGAACATTTTACGCTCGAAACAATATATTAATCTCGTGAAGAGGAATGAGATTTTTCAAAGTTCTGATTCCAAAGACAAGTGAAGAATTATTCAAAGGTCATCCAGGTTACACCATCACTGCTAAATTTTAATTTCGAATTTTCCATTAGTGCAGGTTGAAAGCAGTTCTTTCGGCACCTTTAGAGATCTTAGGAGTTGTTAGGTTTATAAGGATGACTAATAAAGATAAGTAACTAACCTTAATCTTAATCCTACATTCGTCCGCGTTGAACCTAGTTGATAGACTTTTCCAGTTTCGCACACCCCGCTGACTTCGGCGACTCGATAGACGGGCTTCCCACTTCCATTATTATTTCCTATACCAATACGCACAAAGCATCCAGTGACAACTCTACTGAAAAATGGCAGGTGAACGAATTTTTCCATTTTGTGTCTGGACAACCTTATTTTGTTCAAATCTTCTCTCTTGTTAACAAATTCTATTTTTTTTTGTTTTGAACTAGAAACTGATCTGAAAATGAAAAAATTATTTTTAAAATCTATTATTAATTTGTGTTTTACACTAAGAAACAAATTATTAATAATTATAATAATAATTAATAATATGTTATTAATTAATATTGTATTTTATTTAGCTATATAAATTATTATGTATGCTAGAACCTAAATATTAAAAATTTTTATTTTTTACATGCATTTTAATTGTTAAAATTTTAAACAAATAATTTACCTTCTATCAGAATCAGAATCAGTGCTACTTCTTGAACTGCTACTACTACTTCGAGTTCTTGCAGCTGGTTTTTTCTCAGACTTTTCTGAATCTGAACCACTGTCATCGGAGTAAATATCAGATGCTTTGAGTTTTGTTTTATTACCAGTCTTCTCTTCAACATCATTTTCATCTTCAAGATCTTTATCTTGATCTTCCTTCCTTTTCTCATCTTCTATTCTTTGCTTTTCTTTCTCTTCTAAAATTTGAAAAAAAAAAAAAATGAAATGAAGTAACGAAAAAAATAAAAAAAGTTTTTTTTAGTATAATTTTATTTCATTGGAACAAACCTCTTTCTTTTTTCTCTTCTCTTCGAGCTTTTAACAAATTCATTGCATGAGCTTTTTTATCAACTTTTCCTCTATTTTCTTCAACTGTTTTTTTTCGCTCTTTACTTCTTTCTTTATGATCCATTTTATAAGTTGAATCATACTTTTTGTCTTTACCATGTTTTTTTTTCATCTCTTGCTTTTTGGCCATTCTAAGTTTTTTTTCTATTTCAAACCTTGAAAAATTAATAGAAAATAATAATTAATGGACTATAAGTAAAAATTTCAATTAGCTTTATAATTAGCTTTATAATTACCTAGTTTTCATAACTTCTCTTTGCTCAATCCTTTTGTAAATTTCTTTTTCTCTTTCAACTTCAGTCATTTGAGCAAGCCTCTTTCTATCTTCTTCATCACCCATCAATTGATCATCATATCCATCATTGAATTCTTCTTGACTATCACTTGAATCAGAAGCACTGTCTTCATCAGAGTCTGAGACTTCACCTTCCTCTAATTCAGATGATTTTTTTTCTTCTTTTTTCATTCTTGGTTCTTCACTTGCACTTTCTGATGAAGACCTTGTCATTGTTCTTTTTCCTGATCTTTTAGATGGCTTGGAGCTTTTATTTTTTCTCGTTTTGTCTTTGTTACCCCATTCAGTATCTGAAGCCTCAGAATCAGAAGTAAATGTTGGTTTTTTCTTTTGACCTTCATCTGACTCATTTCCACTACTTTTATTTTTCTTCTTTTTGGCTAATGATAGCAGACCCTAAAAAAATTAAAAAAACCACACATTTAATTTACTAGATAACAATCACATTACTAATAATAAAAATTTACAAGAATGAAGTGACAGATCATATTAATGTAATTATCATAATTTATTTTTTTAATGGTTATTGAATACATGGCATAAAATTTAAATTTTGGGTAACAAATACGGTTTCAAAAAATGCAATTCTTTCTAGATTAATAAATATATAGCATGGCATAACGTGCTGAATTTGAAGGCTTGGTTGTACGGCTTCCCGAACTTACCTTCACGAATGAAAATCAAACGCATTTTTTTGAATCGAAATTATAAAATACAATTCTATGTCTTTACTTACAGATTCTAAATCAGAAGCAGAATCTTCTCCATCCGAAGACTCAATAAGAGCTTGAGATTTTCTTTTCACCATCCTAGATATGTTTACAACATTTGCAATTTTTAGCCACACCGCCTTCTATAAATTTTTCAATCTTTAATGGAAGGAATCCCGCCTTTTTATTTATGATTAAAGTAAATTTTTTTTTTTTTTTAATTGTACAATTTTAAATTGTTTAGTCAATCGAAATTAAATAATTAAGGTTCAATCTCAGTAAGTTTTATTGACTATTTGTAAAATTCAGGTGAATAATTTTCGAAATAGTTATTCGAAAAATATACTTAATTCAAGTGTAATAATATAAAATAAAAAATTAAATAATTATATTCACTTATTTTGTAAAAGTTTAGTTTAAAGTAATAAATAAATTTTGTTATATAAATTTCAGAATAAATTTTTTTGTGCTGGATATATTTTTTTTATTTATTGCATAATTTTTTTTTCGGTTGACAATCTAATGACACGGTCATGTTGTTTATAAATGGCGAACGCTGGGGTTGCAAAAGAACTGGTCGATTTTTTGACTTTTAAATGTAAATAAAAATGTTTTATTTTATTTAAATAAACGTTATTTTACCAAAAATATTAAACTTACATTATTTTCATTGAAATATTTATATTATATTACAAAATAGTAATATTATGATTATTGTTACTAATTAGTTTTAAATTTATAGAGATTAAATAATTTTAAAATAATTTTTTTTAGATGATTTCGTCAGTAAAACCTCTTAGATGGCTGAATGTCATATTATTGGTCAAATAATTGGAGCCAGTGATTTTCCCCAAAAGTCTTTATATTGCAAGTGGAGTACCCATTTCGGTCCAAGTTGGAAAGTAATATCTGGACTTTTGGAGGGACAAACACAACTTGATACACCTGAATTTGATGAAAAAACTTATTGGTGCCATCCTATTGACATCCATTTGGCTACTAAAGGAGTTCAAGGTTGGCCAAAATTTCATATCGAAGTGTATCATCAAGATCAATTTGGAAGAAATGAATTGTTTGGATATGGGTTTTTACACTTACCAACTTCACCAGGAACTCATCATTTAACATGTGTTACATGGAGACCTACTGGTTCCTTAAGTGAAGAAATTAAGCGATTCTTTTTAGGGGGTGGTTTGCAACTTAAAAAACCTGACACTATTTACAGTGGAGTTGATCGTAATAAATTACAGACTGAATCAATGGGAAAAGTTTACATTGAAATTGGTATCATTTTAAGAAATTTTCATAAATATGGAATAGAATTTTAATTTCAATCATTTATATTAAAATGCATACAATTTGGTTGATTTTTTTATTGAAAAGTTTTTTTGAAGTAAACAGTGAAACAAATGAATCACTGTCTTTCATGTTTTTGAATTCTTCACTCTGTCAAAATGAAACTTGTTTTGGAGATAACTTTAATTATAATGAAAGTTATGATAATGAATTAAAATTTTCAGAGTCAGGAAAAAATTTAAATGAATCTGTAATTATTTCAAAAAGTAAGGAAAATTTTTTAAATTCAACTCAAAGTTTTGATCACCTTCCAGAATTTCAAGTGCCAACAGAAAATGGTGCGGAAAAAAACAATGCATCAAAATTAGAAATTGATTATTATGTAAATGATACTGAATTAAGCATGTCATTTAGCAACACTGAAACTACAATGTTTCAAGATGTGTATAATAATTCTCAAAATCCCTTTTATAATAGTTCTTCCAGTACTGATTTTTCATTTTTTAAAGTTATTCAAAATGAAGATATTTGCTTTTGTGATATTTATGCTAATCAATGTGACATAAATTGTTGCTGTGATCCTGACTGTTCCGATAAGCATTGGGGCATTTTCACAAAATGTTTGAATGAAAATCATCTTGATAATAATCTATTAAAATGCTTTAAGAAAACAAGTTTTTTTACAAATAATACAAAATTGCAAACAATTAAAACTGAAAATTCTTTGCTGTGTATATTAAAAAATAATATAAAATTTAATCAGGATTTTCAAAATACGACAATAATAAAATCTATTAAAGATTTTAACAAAAAATTACCAAAAGACATTTATTTTTTCAATGAAAAAAAAACATTAAATTCTACTGTTGAAAAAAAAAAATATAAAGTTGGATCATTAATTTGGACTTTACAAAACAGAAACTTGATGCCATTTGGTAATTATTATTTTATTTTTAATTTACTTACAACCTTGTGATTAAATTGATTATCATAGTAATTGTTTTTCAGAAATTCTTGGAAAAGGTATTGGATCAACTTGCACATCAAAAATTAACATTAGGTACTTAATTGATGCAACATCTGAATGCTCTTTCCAAAATTTTCATGAATTTGAATGTGGTAAAAATTTCAATGACAATTTATTGAAATATTTAAAAAACATAAAAATAATTTCTAACCCATATTTAATTAGCGGTTTGGAAAAAAACAATTTGAAAAAAGTATGTGTTTAAATATTGAAAATTTTTGATTTTTTTCTTGTCAAATTTTATTTACTTTTATAATTTAAAAAAAGTAATAATTATATTGAATTCTTTGTTTCAGGTATGTTTGAATGATGAATGCATAGGGTTACTCATATACATTTGTAAAAAACCCAATAATTGTTTTAAAATTCCTGATAAAGAAATTCAGAAATTGAATTTAAGTTGCATCGATGCAGTGTCTACAATAAAATATGTGTTTTGGCATAATGGGACTGAAGGAATTAAAAAGGTTGAAGTTTTCCTTTGGCCGAGAGATGTGTCTTCTTCATTACATGTTAATCTTATACATTCCGAAGTAAAGTTTCAATGGATATCATCTACCGATAATATTTTTGAAAGAAGCGGAAGTCCAGGATACATGACTGGAAAACCGGTTTTGTCCGGAAGAAAAATTGTCGTAGTCGATGACGCTGAAAAACAAAAAGAAATCATAAAATTAAGTTTAAAATCAGATAATTGGTTAAATGTATTAGGATCAGTGAGAGGACTTTGTTCTTCGGAAAAGAAAATCCCTGTGAACTTTAAAGAAAATGCCGTATACTCATGCTTATTACCGTTGCAAAAAAAAAATTTTAGTAGCAAAGAGAGTTGTAAAGATTTACAAAATCGCATTTTCGAATTGCTCATTGGAAACGAATTGAAAAATGCAACGGCGAGCAATTTTTTCAATAGATTTGTGGGTACATTTGGCAATTCAAGAATACAAAATATCGAAGATTGGGTTCAGATTTTAATAGACTTATCTCAAATTACAACAAGTCACATAGATTTTAAAGTCGGTTTTAATATGTTAACTTGCAATAATATTATTTCAAGTTTGTTAATTAACGTTGCTTACTCAAATGTCGGATCAGTCATTTATCCCCAGGCTAAAATTTTAGGAGTTTCTTTTCAATTAGGAAAACATGGGGATTTCGTTTATTTTTGCTCAACTTTAAATTGCGAAAATGCTAGTCATTATCAGTATTTTAAATTGTCGAGTTCAGTTAATTTTATTGATGTATCCGAACCACCTAAAGACATGTTTGCTGATCCAGTTGGGTTGGAAATAAAGTTACCCAAAGATTTTTTTTATCCTTTTTTTTCAAGTGGAAATATTTCAGCAACAAGTCAATTTTTATTTATTTTAATTTTAATATTTAATTTAGAATTAATGTTTTTATAACACAGTGTGTTTATTTTTTTTTTTTTTTCACAAATGTTATGTATTTTTATTATTAAAATGATTATAGAGTGAACATTTTATTTTATTTTGTTTTTTTCTTATATTTAAATTAAAAATAAGAAATAATTATGTTTAAATAAATCTAGTCGAATATCTATTTGTGGTTTTTATTTTTCTTTCAATTTAAATAATGATTTTTTATTTTGTATTTAATTAAAAATATATTTTTATTTAAATAAAATTTTATGAAACAAGTTTTTTTTTTTTTTTATTAAACCATGATAATTGAATATAATTTTAATAGGATGCTGATACTTCCTCGCGCGGGAAATTTAAAAATTTTTTTTGGGTGATTACACGGTTTACGGAATGGAATTTATAAAATTCTACTTTGTGAGAAACATAGTATTCATACGCGCATTCTTCTGTTTCACAATAATTTAGCACTGCACTTTTGTAAATTTTTCACATTTAAATTTAAATAAAAATTATTTTTCATGTTGTTAAATTAAAAACTAAAATTTATGTAAATATTATTTTTTATTTTATTTTGGGACTAATTTATTAATGTAGGAGAATTAAACACTCAATTACTTAGTATCAATATGGCGGACACTTGTTGGTTGTTGTTATTAAAGTGAATAATTCTTTTGTCGCATTTAGTGCCTTTTTTTAATTAGTAAAAGTGTATGGTGTATAAAAAAGTTTTAAGAGTATTTATTAGATTAATTAACGCGTATAGTTTTGTTTTCCCTGCTATGATAATAGTTTTATTTACTTATCGCGTAGGATTGGGATATTCTATTGTGCCCTACCTGCTGTACCAAAAGTTGCTTCTATGAAAAAATTAAAAATTGTAATGTTTTACTCGTTTAAAAGTTAATCATTATGGATAATATGCCTCCGGGATTGGCAGAGAAGTAAGTTTTTATATCATGATAATAATAGAATGCAATAAATCCTTTTAGGCTCATTTTGGATGCTGTCATTCTATGATGTCACCTCCATTATGGTTTTCTCAGGCTCACTTATCACCTGTATTTTTTTAAATATTTCTTTCACCAATTATATTATTAGATTATTTTAATTAATTTATTGCATACAATGATGAAATAAATTTTTATTTTTATAAAATAACAATATGTATTTTACAATAATAAAGATAAATCTTGCAAAATATAAAATTTGTTTACAAAATATATTTCACTGTTCAATTGAATTAAAAAGAAAAGAAAAGAAAAAACTTCCTGAATTGATTACTCCCCTTTTGTATATTAGCATTTTTATTTTAAGTTTCATTATCCAAAACAACTTGTGTTATATTTCATTACAATTCGGTGTATATTAATTTTTTTATATAAAAATTTCTTTTTTGCATCAATTAATTAATCAATACTTTAGTTTATATTCTGTGATAAGTTTGGGTAGCAAATAAGCAGGGTTAAAATTTTATAGCTAAGGTGTTTCTTTTTACACTTGAATGCTGGTAAAAAACAATAAAAAAATATTTTTACCACACCTACAACACACCCTTTTGAAAATTTGAAGTTTATATTATTTAATGTTTAATTGTGTTCAACAATTGCATAACAGTTATATTTATTTTTTCAAGTCCTTTTTTTTAAATATTTTATTAATAAATTTTAAAAAAAATTGTTAATTGTAGAAGTCAAATTGGAGGAGGAATAACAAATGGATCCTCATTTAGGCGATCTTCCATGCGCCCCATGTCCACCAGCACTTCGTTAGATGGTTCTTTACCGATTAGTCCAACTTCCAATTTTCATACAGTTGTAGTGGTGGTTCATAAGGATGAAAACGGTTATGGCATGAATGTTTCTGGGGATAATCCAGTATATGTTCAGTCTGTTAAAGAAGGTATTTAATCAATTTCTATTCTTTTTTCAATTATCAAAATTAAAATAGATTAAAATTATAAAGCGATATTGATGTGTGTGTGTGTGTGTTTTTCAGAGTTTTATTTTTAAAAGAATGTTTGCATATCAAGCAAAACTGATAAAAATTTTTGTTATAAATTATTAATTTTAAAGGGCAATCAATGTCAATACAGGTTTTTTAGCTTAAATATGTTCTTAAATATGAAAAAAAAAAAAAAAAAAAAAAAAAAAAAACAAAACTAACTATAAATGTGTATTGATAAAGTTAATAGTTTTTAATTGCTCCAAATTAAATTAATTAAATTAAAATTTTTTTGACTGTAAATAAATAAATAAATTTATTTTACAATAATGAGAAATATTTATTATTATTTATTTATTTAGTGCAGTGTGCTGGAAGTTGTTGTAAATTAATTTGTTTATGGTTTATTGTGTCAATGTGTTATTTATAAATTTCCTTTTTCTTTCTTTTATTATTATTATTATTATTATTTTTTTTTTTTAAATGATTAAAAACTCAAAAGAAAAGAATGTGTATTCAAAATAGTTAAATGTAAAGAGTGTGATTTGCAATAATGAGTTCATTATTCTTTTTATCTCATTCTGTTTGAATCACACCTTTGAGATAAATTACGAACGTATATCCGCTTTAAGCACCTGTTTTCTTTCTTACACGGATTTTTTTATTGTTAAAATTATATAAAGTGAAATTTAATTTAAATCAGTTTATTGAAAAATGAATTTGCTTTGTTATTCGGTAATTTTTTTTTTTTATTAAGAAATTTAGTGGAAACTTTTATTTAACAGAATATTAGGTATTTGTGTAGTTCTGTGTAGTTAGGAATGAATTATTGTTTTTTAAATTGAATACAGGAATTAATTACCGAAAATTATTTAATTCGAATTCATTTTATATGTTTAATCGTATTTTTAAAACATATTTCTTCAAGGTTTTAAAGGTATTAATTTAAAAAAAAAAAGGTTTAATTTAGTTTTATTTAATATTTTTAGTTTTTTTTTTATTAAAAATTTTCGTAGATTCATTATACTTGTTGCAATTTAAAGAAAAGTTAAATCAAAAATTAGAAGATGGTTTTCGTAATTTATCTATCTGACGGACCCTTTAACAATTTTCAATCATCAGTGGTCATTTTAATTTATTGAATTAAAACCAATGATTGTCATTGAGGGAACTTTTTACCATTTGATAGAATTTTAAAAATGGCGGCTAATTCTTTTAAACATTCTTTATAAATTTAAAATTAAAATTTTTATTTTTTATTTTTTCAAATGTCAATATACGTATATATATATAATTTATTTTAATATTACATGAGCCTTTCAAGTAAATTATTATTAGTATTATTATAATTTCCTTTCACATTACATTTGAATTTGAGTTTTTTTAATAGCAAAATTTTTAACAAAGACTTTAATGTTTACTTAAAATTTTTGCGAAGACTTTAGTTATCAAACAAGAACTTTAATACTTGAGACCTTCAATTTAATTAGTTTTAAACAAATAAAAAAATTTTATGTTTATTTTCCTGGCAAAAGGGGAGAGGAGGGAGGGAGGGAGGGAGGGAGTTCAAAAAACAAAAGTGTCCACTGGTAACCTTTTTACAAATAATTTTAAGCGTAAGAAAATTATTTTTAAAAAAAATTTTTTTTTTATTTTATTTTTAAGGTGGAGCGGCTGAAAAGGCTGGATTACACTGTGGTGATATGATAATCAAAGTAAACGGGGTAAATGTAACACAATCCACACACCTACAAGTTGTTAGTCTAATAAAAGGTAAACTACTTTATATAGTAAAAGTATTTTAAATAATCGTGAAACAAGTAATAATTATGATAACAAACATCTTACATAAATAAATCTTCTTTAGACTTGATTAGAAAAAAAAAAAAAAAAAAAAGGTACTAACTAATACGTATACAATCAACGTTTGATATTCGTACCTAAGAGTAGTTTTATAAAAAATTATAAAATTTTTTTCATCATGCAGTTACGAGTTGTAATAAACTAATAATTATAATTATTAGTATCGAGTATTTATATCTACATTATGAAAATTATCTATCTTATCTTAATAATTCATTCTGATTGATTGAATTTTATACTAAAAAATATCATATATTAATATACATATTGTTGGAATTTAAAGGAAATCCAATTACTTTTTATGAATCGTATCGTAAAATAATTATTGTATAGTGAATGAATGAGAGGGGGATTTTTTTTTTTTTTTTTCACGCCGTAATACACTTATTCAATACAAAAAAACGTTTTCATTTCAAATCAGCATCCTTGCACCACTTTTCAAGTGGCGTTATTATTATTAATATTTCAATTCCGGAAAAGGAAAGGAATAATAATAATAATAATAATATTCATGCTTATTTGTAAAAACCTTTTTCTCAAACTGTTACCGTGCATTAAGTTCAAATCGTGCATCAAATGATTAGCTAAAAGTTTTGAAATTTTTTTAATTATGCTTACGAAATATTTTTTTTTTTTTTTGATGAAGAAGTTTAACTTTATAAATAAAAAGAAATATCTTTTGTTGTTGTTGTTGCTCTGTGATTAGGATCATTCAATTGGCGCCAAATCGTTTTATTTTAAATCATCGCGAGACATTGAGAGAGAGAGAGAGAGAGAGAGAGAGAGAGAGAGAAAACCATTGGAAATTTAATGATTGCGTAGTCATCAATAATAATTTTAATAATAAAAACAGAAACAGCATATTTACGTAATAAATATTAATAAAAAAAAAAGGCTTAAAATTTTATTTTTAATTTAATTTTTTTAAAAAACTTTAATAATACAAAAGTTATTAAAAATGTAACTCTGTGGTGGAAAATTTTTTTTTTGAGAAACGTTTTAAAGATTTATCGACCTAAATCACGACTAGGAAATCTCTCGGATATTTTTATTGCACACTTAATATTTTTTAATTATTTTATCACGTTATTTTTTATCATTGTTATTATTTTTAAATAATTTTATTTATTAGTAAAATGTTTTTTTTTTTTTTTTGAAAATGATTATTTTCGAGTCTTAATTGGTGATTTCTAATCCGATTTGAATTAGCATAACGTGGGTTTGACAAACCTTGAAACCTTTTTTTTAAATTTTTTTTTATTTAAACAAAAAAAAATTTTTTTTTGTCGTTAATCCTGTTTTTAATAAACATTGTAAAAGAGTACAATCACAATTATTGTCATGTATTAGTTGTTTGTTAGTTGTTTTTTTTTAAATCGGTTTTTTTATTATTAGTAAATATTCGAAATAATTTTATAAAATTGCGTTTTTTCATTCGTTACAAAAATTGATTTTTGATTAACTCATAAGAAAATCTCATTTGCACTTTCTATGTTAGAATAATTGTACATTGAGAACATTAAAAAATAATTTATTAAATAACAAAATGTTTTGTCAGCTTCTTCGGTTGTCGAACTTACCGTTCGTCAAAACTGTAGAAATCTTCTGCCTAGAGGTAGTATCGTTACCGCAACTTCGTCATTTCATTTGAGACCTCTTCATTCACATTCGTCTGCTATGAGAGCTTCCGACAGGATCACTGGACCTCAACCTGTAGATGTGAGTTCAACAATTATATATATAATATTCTGTATCGAATAGTAGTAACGTGATGGTAAACGAAGACTGATTAAAAATTTTTTTTTTATTTGTTTTTATCAGGTGGATAAATTGCGTCAATTGGAATCTCAAAGAGTTCATACTTTTCGTTTAATGTTGGAAAAGGAACAATTGTATGTTGATGCATTACGTTCGGAATTGGCGAAATGTATCGATCCTCAAAGCGAATCTAAAATTCAACAGGAATTA